TAAGTGTTAAACAATCAAGCACCCCAATAATCACCAAATACTCTGAAGTGACGCTAATCGTTGCAAAGACATGATTTAATCCTTCTGCTTAACAATCACAAATTATTAAAACAATGTTAAGCATCAAGAGTGAATGAAAATAAGGGAATAGCGGTCTCAAACCTGATTTATTCTCTTGAAGATTATTTGATTTCTTACTGCAACTCTGATAATGTTCTTATATTGTACACTATATGAAGTTTTTCCTCCTTCTGTTGAGCGTAAGTGCCGCTTCTGCCTTCAGCGTGATCTGAATGCTAGGAAGCGCACCAAGAGGAATAGCTACATTACGCATTCGTACTGCTGCGGGTGATACGCATCCGCGGTTCAACCGGAAGAGCAGATTGGATCTTCATGCATCTGCTATGCTGTTGATCATGGAGGCCAAAATGGCTAATAATCGAATTAGTTGGGAGAAGCAAACATAAGGTGAAGAATAATAGTCTACGACTACTTATGACTGGCGATAACATCCGAAAAATATTTTACAAAGAAAAACTACTCCCCGCTCATTTTCTGCGTCGTTTTTTGCGTAAACAAAATTAGAAAAAAATCCTCTCCCTATGATCAAAGAAACAATGAAAGGGATTTAAAATGCTGAAAACTTGCAAGCTTTTCAACTTTTGCCCCTATTGGGAGCAGACGTTCCTACGGGTGACGTAATGAGTTTAATCACACCAGACTGACTTACACCCTGGCAATACCCGTTTGTACTGAGAATAAAATCATCAAGGATTGATTTTTGAAAATTTCACCTGAGAAAAGGAAATCAAAGAAGTTTCATCAATGAGAAACTCATAAAAATTTGATTAAAGAGTGACTTCGAGGTTATCGATCTTGCTCATTTGAGATAACTTTCGGGAGCTCCAGCTCTTAATCGATTCCTTCTCATATCTATACTCTATGCGTAACGATAAATGGCATAAGTAACAGTTGTAGGATCTATGTAACAGAAAACAAGCCATCAGCAGATACATAATTTATGGTTCAGAATACTTCCGCATATGTCATAGCTTAGGTTCAACGAGAGATAAATCGCGTGTAAAATTTTATTTAGCAGTAATTGACACATAAGCACGTGCGAACGCATGATCGATTGCAAGTAGAAAAAGTTATACATATGTGAAGAAGAGAGGTAGATGAAAGAAAAGGACACAGCTGACTAAATTCATGTAAAAATGAGCACGAAGAAAAAAAAATCTAAAAGTAGAATCAATGAGAGATATAAACCGTCAAATTTACAAAACAAATGAAGCAAATAAAAGTTCACATGGGAGTTATATGGCAGTATATGCAATACTTCGGTAAGAAGTAGATTAACTAACTAGTGAATGTTCAACCGGTTGATGACTAGTGGCAAGGTGAAACTGTTGAAGCAAAAAAATAAAGGTACTAACTAGTGCTGATATGTCATGTTGCGAAAGTACAAACATAAAAATTATTGCATTTTATTACGTGAAAGAAGAATGCGCCACCATTGGTGCACCCATGCTGCGTAACACTCGGTCAATCCACTGCAAAGGACCATTTAAGTGCGCTTCGATCCAACATGGAGTTGCGTCAATCTAAACAAGGATAAGCACTACTTGCTCTATGTACGGCTTTTGTATTGCAACTCACTGTCTGCCTTCGATAATCAGCACCCCAACCTTTAACGAACGAAATTCGGATTGTACAAAGTCGAGTGAGAGCAAAAACTGCCTCATAACCTTTTTCAACAGATTCAGCAAGTTGCGCAGCAAATTCAGCATTGTTGAATATTTTCAAGTTACAGTTTGGAGGAATCTGCAAAGAGAAACATACTTAGAAAGGACTGGAAATAGAAGATTTTCTGAGATATATAACGACAGATTCAACTATAAGCTGAACTAATTAAGGAACTTATTGCGTATTACATAAACCGTCGATGTTAATGGTTTTGTTTCGGCAAATTGTTTTACCCAAAGATAATTTAAATTTGTTTTATGAGTGAGGTTAACATTTTACTGCGGTAAAATGGCATAATCAGCAAATTTGCTTCAAAAACCATACCTTACACACTGTAGTTGGGTGCCAGCCATGACGTTGATTACAATTGGGTGACTGAACGAAAACAGCTGCATCCGACAAACACTCGCAGTACACCTGAAACAAATCCTCATTGTAACAAAAGAAAACGCTAATTATCTTTCCGATGACTCAAAGCGGATTTCAGATTAAAAGCTTAGAGGTTTAACCAGATGACACTTACAAAAGCAAAATTTTCAACAAGATCCTCGTACTACAGCTAGTAAAAGCTTTTAGAAAAAGGGACACATATTCGATACAAGTGTCAAAATCTAAAATGGAACCTTTTTT